CTTCATTTCAGAGGGACAGATGTTGATAGAGGAGAGGAGTTTGATTCTCTGGACTTTACCTGTGAAGCAGCAGCAGAGGAGAGTCCAGATGAGGACGGAGATCAAAGTCATGTTTTTGATGAGGAGGATTTCTGTGGCTTCTGTTGTCATGAAGGACAGCTGTCAGTCATCCAGTGTTCAACTCTCAGGACTATAAACTCTCCCAGAGCACTGGAGCATGGTGCTGCTGATGCAAAGTGGCTCTCTATGGAAATGCTCTGACTGACTCCAACATGGACTTGGATTACTCTGATGATGCTGACTATCAATGGATCAATCACTTTACCAGAGTATTGATAAGGAATGTGTTACTTCCTTTTTATAAAAAGCTTTTGTTTGAGTTGGATGAGTTGATTTACTTGCAGAATATTATTTTGAATTCCCATTTATTCACAGCCACACAAATCACCATCACTGTGGGATGTATTCATACAAAATGTATTTTCATTTATCATAATCTACAATAAACATAGGTTCATGATAATTATATATATCAGGATTATTAATGGCAGGATTTATAGGACAGTTTTCTTTTGGAATTTTTAAATTTATTTGAATTTGTTTTACTGGAGGAGAAATTAATACTGCTTGTAGATGTTTGAAGTTTCACATAGAAAATGTTGTGTATATATTCAAAGTTTGTGAATCAGTCTCTAAACGGTTAAACCAGTTATTACACAATCTGGGTAAACTGGAAATATTTTTGGTGAGTTTGTTTGTGTCAAAGTCAGAGAGCCGTGTCTCTCTACAGTGAGAGGTTTTTGTACGGCGGCTCAATGAGTTTGTATCATTGTGGTCCACGTTCGGTGGAGGAACCAGACTGGAATTTGGAAGTAAGTCAGATGTTTAAAATGTTTATTTTTTCAGCAGCCATGTTTTTTTATATTATATATTTAAAAGGCCAGAAATAGTAGTCGCCTTTCCATTTTGTTTTTAGACATATTTTGCATTAAAGGACAAAGTTAGCTTTTGAATGAGAAAATCAAAAGTCCATTGTAATGAAAATAAAACATGAAGCTAGAAGATAAATCTTTATTTCTTACTTGAATGGTTAAGTTTCATCTTGAGGGCTTGTAGGTTTAGTTCAGTGTGTCAAAGTCAGAGAGCCGTGTCTCTCTACAGTGAGAGGTTTTTGTACGGCGGCTCAATGAGTTTGTGTCACTGTGGTGGACTTTTGGTGGAGGAACCAGACTGGATGTTGGAAGTAAGTTTCTGCACAAACACCAGATAAACTGTTTAGTCTGTTTTGTAATGTCTGCAGTATTCATGTTATTTCTTATGTTTGAAGTCAGAGCAGCTTTAATCAACATTTCTTTGTACATTTTCATCATACTTGAAGTCAAACAGGTTGAAATGTAAAAAAAACTGCAAACCAGTTTTACAAATGTTTATAAAGAGTATTTTATTAATGTTCCACCTCAGTGATAACTATTTTTTTCTAATAAATTCCGAATCAACTTTTTAGGAATAAACTAACGGTGATTGATTCATGTGGTTTCAAATTTTGAAAATCTTTTGAACAGTTTTAATGAGAACTGACATCAACATAAAGAACATTTGATTGTAGGAAGTGCAGTAATATATGCATTTTTTATGCACAAAAAAAAATGTAAAATGCATTTTACTAAAGTAATGTATCGTCAGTGTTTGGAAGGAAAACGTTTAATAATTTGTCTAAATTCTGATATTTTCTGTCCAGTGTAGTTTGATATATTTGAGGTCATTCTGTATGATGATTCTCTCTGTGCTGATTTGCATGAGAGGCTTCTTAAAGGGAAGTGAAACAATGTGTGAGTGAGTGACTGATGGAGCAGAAAAACCATCTGACAGAAACTCCTTAAAGGAGAAAATCAACTCTCACACAGTAAAGGTGTCCAAGTGTCTGATGGTTGATTGACAGCTGTGTGGTCCCTGTCCTCTAAGCTGATTGGTGTCTCCTAGGTGATGTCCGTCCCACCCTGACGGTGCTGCCCCCCTCCAGTGAGGAGCTGCAGCAGGGGAAGGCCACGCTCATGTGTCTGGCCAACAAGGGCTTCCCCTCAGACTGGAGTCTGGCCTGGAAGGTGGACGGCAGCAGCAGCAGCAGCAGCAGCAGCAGCTGGGAGGAGAGCAGGAGCCCTGGGGTGCTGGAGAAGGACGGCCTCTACAGCTGGAGCAGCACCCTGAGGCTCCCTGCAGACCAGTGGAGGAAGGTGGGCTCTGTGACCTGTGAGGCCACCCAGGGCTCCCAGACTCCACTCTCAGAGACACTGAGGAGAGACCAGTGTTCCCAGTCCTGACCTGACTCACTGGGACTCTGCTGCTGGTTTTACTCTGCTACTGCTCTCAGTCTGCTCTCTGTCTCTCTCATGACGTTTCAGTGTGAACATGTTCTTGCTTGTGTTGATGGTTTCAATATCTCAAAGCAATAAAGATTTGATCAAATGTATCATATGAGTTTCGTCATGTGACTTCATTTCTTGGACATATGTTATATATTAGGAGCATTACTCAAACTAATGCACAAAAGCCACAACAGTAATGAGTCTTTATTTTTCAGAATACTTTTTCAGACTGTGGATAATCTTCTACTGCAGTTCCCATGATAGATCAATCAATTTATTTTGGTAACAATACACATGGTAAGACCTTTCTAATAGTAAAACCCAAAGCTCTCTGTTATTACTGATGTCTGTCCTGGAAGAAATTTCTCCAGTTAAGTTTGTGTGTTGTTCAATTCTGCCTATAAATTATTGTGCAGATTTTAATTCAAAGCTCTTAATAATAAGAGGAACAGTGTATCATCTGCAAAAAGTCACATAACATGAATCTAATTTGAGATTTTCCACCAAATCACATTTAAATGAGACAGAGTAACTTCAACAAAGGACATGACATGAGAGAGATCAAAGGACAGTCTCTGTCTCTTAGTGTCTGCCAGCAGATTTGACACTTATGTAACACACATATATGTGTAGATATAGTTAAAGTGTCAATGACGTCTTTTGTATTTTTATAATTCCAGGTCATATAAAGCCTGTTTATATTTACATGAGTGGCAGGAGCTCAGTTTGTTGGGACTTGGCTTGGGAACCAGAGGGTCCCCAGTTCAAGTGCCTGTACTGACTGAACACAGAGTGGGGACTGGGAGCTGAAGAGCTGTCATTGAGCAAGGCACCAAAGCCTCGACTGCTTCGGGCACTTATCCATGGACAGTCCCCTCATCTCCCGATTAATGCATATGTATGGGTCCTGTTTGTGTATGTGTGTGTATTTTGGGCCTGTGTGTGTGTGTGTGTGTGTCCTCAGTGAAGTGTATCAGTCTCTGCAGTAGCTTCCAGCTGCAGCAGTCAGTTCAGTTTCTGTTCAGTCTGACTGAGGGAGGTTTTTGTACGATGCTTTTTCACTGTGTGAACAACCACTGACTGCTGATGTAATGTGCACTCTGACAGTAGTAAACTGCTGCATCTTCAGTCTGGACTCCACTGATGGTCAGAGTGAAGTCAGAGTTTGATCCACTGCCTGTAAAACGACCTGGAATCCCTGATTCTCGAGTGCTGGCAGAGTAAATGAGCAGTTTAGGAGTTTCTCCATCTCTCTGTTGGTACCAGGCTAAGTAGTTAGAGTTATAAACATTCTGACTGGTCCTACATGTGATGGTGACAGAGCCTCCCACAGCAGAGCTCACTGCTCCAGGCTGAGTCACTGTGACCTGACCTCTGGACTCTGAGGATACAGAGACACAAACATAAAGCAGCATCATGGTTTTGTCAGCTTCATTTCAGAGGGACAGATGTTGATAGAGGAGAGGAGTTTGATTCTCTGGACTTTACCTGTGAAGCAGCAGCAGAGGAGAGTCCAGATGAGGACGGAGATCAAAGTCATGTTTTTGATGAGGAGGATTTCTGTGGCTTCTGTTGTCATGAAGGACAGCTGTCAGTCATCCAGTGTTCAACTCTCAGGACTATAAACTCTCCCAGAGCACTGGAGCATGGTGCTGCTGATGCAAAGTGGCTCTCTATGGAAATGCTCTGACTGACTCCAACAGGGACTTGGATTACTCTGATGATGCTGACTATCAATGGATCAATCACTTTACCAGAGTATTGATTAGGAATGTGTTACTTCCTTTTTATAAAAAGCTTTGGTTTGAGTTGGATGAGTTGATTTACTTGCAGAATATTATGATGAATTCCCACTTATTCACAGCCACACAAATCACCATCACTGTGGGATGTATTCAGACAAAATGTATTTTCATTTATCATAATCTACAATAAACATAGGTTCATGATAATTATATATATCAGGATTATTAATGGCAGGATTTATAGGACAGTTTTCCTTTGGAATTTTTACATTTATTTGAATTTGTTTTACTGGAGGAGAAATTAATACTGCTTGTAGATGTTTGAAGTTTCACATAGAAAATGCTGTGTATATATTCAAAGTTTGTGAATCAGTCTCTAAACAGTTAAACCAGTTATTACACAATCTGGGTAAACTGGGAATATTTTTGGTGAGTTTGTTTGTGTCAAAGTCAGAGAGCCGTGTCTCTCTACAGTGAGAGGTTTTTGTACGGCGGCTCAATGAGTTTGTATCACTGTGGTACACGTTCGGTGGAGGAACCAGACTGGATGTTGGAAGTAAGTCAAATGTTTAAAATGTTTATTTTTTCAGCAGCCATGTTTTCTTTATATTATATATTTAACAGGCAAGAAACAGTAGTTGCCTTTCCATTTTGTTTTTAGACATATTTTGCATTAAAGGACAAAGTTAGCTTTTGAATGAGAAAATCAAAAGTCCATTGTAATGAAAATAAAACATGAAGCTAGAAGATAAATCTTTATTTCTTACTTTAATGGTTAAGTTTCATCTTGAGGGCTTGTAGGTTTAGTTCAGTGTGTCAAAGTCAGAGAGCCGTGTCTCTCTACAGTGAGAGGTTTTTGTACGGCGGCTCAATGAGTTTGTATCACTGTGGTGGACTTTTGGTGGAGGAACCAGACTGGATGTTGGAAGTAAGTTTCTGCACAAATACTAGATAAACTGTTTTAAAGTTTTGTTTAGAAGTCTGTTTTGTAATGTCTGCAGTATTTATGTTATGTTATTGAAGTCAGAGCAGCTTTAATCAACATTTCTTTGTACATTTTCATCATACTTGAAGTCAAACAGGTTGAAATGTAAAAAAAAACTGCAAACCAGTTTTACAAATGTTTATCAAGAGTATTTTCTTAATGTTCAACCTCAGTGATTACTATTTTTTTCTAATAAATTGAGAATCAACTTTTTAGGAATAAACTAACGGTGATTGATTCATGTGGTTTCAAATTTTGAAAATGTTTTGAACAGTTTTAATGAGAATTGACATCAACATAAAGAACATTTGATTGTAGGTAGTGCAGTAATACATGCATTTTTTATGCACAAAAAAAAATGTAAAATGCATTTTACTAAAGTAATGTATCGTCAATGTTTGGAAGGAAAACGTTTAATAATTTGTCTAAATTCTGATATTTTCTGTCCAGTGCAGTTTGATATATTTGAGGTCATTCTGTATGATGATTCTCTCTGTGCTGATTTGCATGAGAGGCTTCTTAAAGGGAAGTGAAACAATGTGTGAGTGAGTGACTGATGGAGCAGAAAAACCATCTGACAGAAACTCCTTAAAGGAGAAAATCAACTCTCACACAGTAAAGGTGTCCAAGTGTCTGATGGTTGATTGACAGCTGTGTGGTCCCTGTCCTCTAAGCTGATTGGTGTCTCCTAGGTGATGTCCGTCCCACCCTGACGGTGCTGCCCCCCTCCAGTGAGGAGCTGCAGCAGGGGAAGGCCACGCTCATGTGTCTGGCCAACAAGGGCTTCCCCTCAGACTGGAGTCTGGCCTGGAAGGTGGACGGCAGCAGCAGCAGCAGCAGCAGCAGCAGCTGGGAGGAGAGCAGGAGCCCTGGGGTGCTGGAGAAGGACGGCCTCTACAGCTGGAGCAGCACCCTGAGGCTCCCTGCAGACCAGTGGAGGAAGGTGGGCTCTGTGACCTGTGAGGCCACCCAGGGCTCCCAGACTCCACTCTCAGAGACACTGAGGAGAGACCAGTGTTCCCAGTCCTGACCTGACTCACTGGGACTCTGCTGCTGGTTTTACTCTGCTACTGCTCTCAGTCTGCTCTCTGTGTTTCTATCATGTGACCAGTTTAACAGTTCTCACCTTGAAACAGCAATGTTTTTATTCTTGTCATAGTGCTTATGCTGTTAATGCTGTCTAATAAAACATAAGCAAATAAAAAACAATGTCTGAATATTGTTATTGCAACAGTTCCCTTCTCCCACATGTTAAAAGATACAAGATTATAACCCATGTCACAGTTAGATTGTCTCACTGCTGGTGATGGTTTTATTAATGACTTCTTGAATCATGTAATTACGGAAGACGAGAACGGCAATGTATTATTCTTTTTTTGTGCACTGTTATCTCGTGAGAACGAATTAATTAAGTCGTTATCACCAGATAAAAGTCTTTGTTATCTCGTGATAAGGACTTATTAATTCGTTATCTCGAGATAACTAAGATTGTTATCAAACAAAGACTGTTATGTCGTGATAACGACTTAATTAATTCGTTATCACGACATAACAAAGATTGTTATCTCGAGATAACGAATTAATTAATTCGGCATCTCGAGATAATAAAAACTGTTATGGCAGATCACATTATTGATCAACGCATCAGGATGTAGGCTACTTCAGTCAAGGTCTAACACAGGCAGAAATTGTATTGTGTCTTTCTGTTAGGCATTCAGATTAGTCCTTGTCATTGAAGGAGAAAACTAGTGCGGTTACAACTTCACAGGCGACGGTTAAGTGATCCTGCTCATCGACGGGAAATCACATCATCTGCTATATGTGACGTACATGCCCTTATTTGGATAACACGGTATTCCCCACACATAAAGCCTATTGACAGCGTAATGCGCTCTGGCTGCAGATGTATTAAGCATGAATCCGTTCTTGCAGCATCTCTACAGAAAGTATTCGTTAGAGACAAACCATCCATCTGTCTGTCATCTCACCTGTTTGGCCTGCCTTGACCAGCGAATTCATCAGCTTGTAACAATTCGCCAACAACATAAACTGAGGCTTATGTCACAACGCTGCTTTTACAGGTCACGGGAGGCACAGGTTCACGGTACCAAGCTGAAACCCCTGATATAGGCTAACATAACCCCAAAAAACTTAACTCTTTTTGTTTTCAAAATACAGCAATAAATTGTATAAAAACGAAAAGGACTCATATGGTTATTTTAACTCAACAATTTTAGTGTAATTAAATTAAATCAAACCCAAATTAACAAGCGTCCGGCTCGGACGATTCACTCAGTTAACACAGCGCGTCACGTCGATACAGAAAACAAATAACCCCCACTGTGCATTTACTGCTTGTTTATTAATTCCAGTCACGTTTAATAGTAGCTGCAGCAGCAACCGCTAGTTGCCAACAGCTGCCTTGTTATTATTTCTTTATTACAGATATGCGACATTATTTGGCCATGGTGATCGCGGCTTGCTGTTGGTCAGTTTTTCTGCTGATGCTGTTTTTTTTTATCTGTGTACACTGTCTTGATTCGTCATGTCAGAGGTAGCGAGTTTTGGAGTATAGACATTTGTTTGTTTTTACATCTTCAGCACCAAGGACAGCGCTTAAAGTGATTTTGTTATAACCGCTGCCTAACAGGCTCGGGGACATCTTCAGCACCGAGGACAGTGCTCAAACTACAGTTTCTTGTCTGCTTTTGTCATGTGTGAATTCTACTGTTGGTCTGCTTATGGAAAAAATGTAATAAAATTTGCATTTGTTAGAACTTCTTAATGTTTTATTTGTGTGTAGCTTATGGCAGCCAGTCAGTAGCCTATAGTGAGTGGCGATGTGCGATGCGCTATACAGCAGGAAAAAAATACAATGATGTCACACATTCATTCATCCAGTTGGCAACCCCCCACCTTAAAACATCTTCCCGTGTGTGGGGAATACCCATGGACGTCGGAACTATTTTCTGAGGGGGGGGGGGGATTTTTGCTGGG